CTATTAGATAGTATCGCACTAAATCTATGTTGATAATTCTTTTCTGGTTGATTACTTCCTTGGTTCGGCAAGTAACAACAAGGCGAGTTCTAATGCATGCACTCGTTAAAAAGACTTTTGAACGAAAGAATTATTAATGCATGCAAAACACTATTCAAGAATTGCTTATTTACTATTCATACTATGTTAATCACTCATGGATCCCACAACCTTAGTTGTGGAGTTTAGTTACCCATAATCATATGAACACAATTCATTGTTTTAGATGAAAGAATTATGAACTTACGTAGTTGAGAAAAATAAACCCAGAAATTCAACTCAAATTTCAAACCAAATCTTCAAAACTAACCTTTGGAAATCAAGAATTGATCCGGTAGCAAAATTTAGTTCCCAAGTCACAAAGTAAAACAAAAGTAATAAAGTCTAACCCCCAAAAACAGGTTTACATGCCCTATTTATAGAAAACAAGTCCTAAATTAAAAAGGGAAACACATTAAGGAAAGTGTGTTCAGGCACGCATCTTCATTCCACGAGACTGACTCACGGACCGTCAATGGATCTACGGTCCGTGAGTCCCTTCCGTCAGCCAGGACTTAGAAAATATTTCAGCATCCAAAAACCAGCTTCTCTGAAGCAAACGACGGACATGCAGTACGGACCGTAAATTGATCTTCGGTCCTTCAATCCCCTTCCGTAGCTCCATACTTGGAATCTTCAAAAATCAGGTACTGGAACCCTCGCAGTATCAATCTACGGATCAACAGTACGGTCCGTAGATCAATGGCCACCGTGGTTCCACACTCTGTCAGATTTCCCTGATTTGCCTTCCATGCCTTGCCTGCTGATCTACGGCCATCACCTACAAAGCGTCACTGGACCTACGGTCAGTAGATCACCTCCGTAGGTGCCCTTTCTGCAGTTATTTCAGTTGTCCCTTTACTTTCGCGCCTGAATGTCTTTCCTGCAAAACATGATAAAAACACATAAAAACCAATCCAAAAAGGCCCTAGACACACACAACTTGTAAGTGAAATGTATTAGAAATATCGTAAACTCACGGTATATCAACACCCTCAACTTAAATTCGTTGTTTGTCCTCAAGCGACGCACTAAGACTCTAAACGACACTCGTATAGAAGCAAGCATTTCACACACAAGCAATCACATGGCTTTCCACCCCACTCTCTTTGTGGGTACAAAATTTGTTCTCTTAGACTCGATAAGCTAATTCATGCGGATCAAACCATGACAACGATTGACCAACCAACACACAACATACACTGTTTCACTATCACCAAGGTACCAACTCCCCCGACAATGTACTAAGTGCCCTTACTTCAAACAAAATCCCTTTCCTTTCGCACAATAACTTAGGAATTGTAGTACAATGATTCATTCAACACTCAGACTCAGAAAGAACTTCAAGTACAGTTAGTGCTCAGTACCATAGGCTTGCCCTTATTTTCACTACTTAGACTCTCCAAACTAGACTCTAAGATCACTATAGGACTTTCTTGGCTTGTAACGTAGGCTCAGGGTCAGGTGTGGTACATTTGGGTACTTCTTAGTGACTTTCTGCCCTCCTTGACATTACACTAGGCTTTCAACCTCTTTTTGCCCTATTTATGCCATCCTACCGTTTTACCTTTCTTTCCCTTAATTTTCTTCAACCAAGGATGTGACTTTAGACTTTGTAGCTCTTTTTACTTTTATTCTATATTTTTTTAGCTTTCAACAAGTCACATCCTTTCCTCTCTTTTTCAACATCAAACTCTTTTCATACCCATTTTTCTTTCAGTTTCCTCTTTCATAGCCACCCTCAACTTATGGATTTTTCCATTGGTTGAGGTGCACAATACCCGATGGCGGGTCAGGGCCAATATTGAAGTTACTGTTTACATTAGCCACCCTCAACTTAAGCTTTTGGCCTAGGTCGAGGTGCACATGTCCAAGGAGGGACCGGGGCCAACATAGTCGATTATAGGAAGGTGAGTTCGAGGTTTAGAAAGAACTGGTATTATTTTAGGCTCAAAGTATTTGGATCAAAGGGAGCATTTGTTTCATTTTGGTTGGATCTTTCTTTTAGGCAATTTGCGGACTTATCAGAACAATGGCCTATGATCACTTCCTAACCTTTAGATTGAATTGTCTTAGCAGGACTAACCGGGCAAGTTCTAGTTTTGCACAAAAACTGTTTGAACACTCAACTATTCTCACACACTCTTGGCACATAGTTTCATTACCAGATTATCAGATTACCCAGTTCAAGTTTAGGCTTAAGTGATGCCAACGAGTTGATTCGTTATTATGTCATACTCAGAGCCAACACATTCAACTAATCGTAGCCTACAAAGGACCGTAGATCGATCTACGGTCCGTCAATCCCCTTCCGTAGCTCCATACTTGGAATCTTCAAAAATCAGGTACTGGAACCCTCGCAGTATCAATGTACGGATCAACAATACAGTCCGTAGATCAATCTACGGACCGTCAATGGCCACCGTGATTCCACACTCTGTCAGATTTCCCTGATTTGCCTTCCATGCCTTGTCTGCTGATCTACGGCCATCACCTACGGAGCGTCACTGGACCTACAGTCCGTAGATCACCTCCGTAGGTGCCCTTTCTGCAGTTATTTCAGTTGTCCCTTTACTTTCGCTCCTGAACGTCTTTCCTGCAAAACATGATAAAAACACATAAAAACCAATCCAAAAAGGCCCTAGACACACACAACTTGTAAGTGAAATGTATTAGAAATACCGTAAACTCACGGTATATCACCATCCCAACACATTAAAGACACATCATACAAGCTATGGAAAGGGGGAAAATGGGAAATGAGCACGAAAACAAGCAAATCACAATGAAGGTCATTACAATTATCATACATGAAAAACAATAACTGAAAGTTGCGATGCAAGCTAACTGAAAGTCATGTACCAAAGAGGCTAACAATATGATTATTGTACTACTAAATCATTTTCTTTAAATCATGAAATTAACTTCTTTTATAAAAGTTTGTCTATATAATTAGGGATGAATTTTTTTTATTTACATAGAATACATAATTTTTCAAGTTCACATAGGAAACTTAACATGGGCAAAATTTGAGAAAAAATAAAATTATGTGCTCTATTACGTCAAGCCGTTGATATGCAACTTCACCTGCAACATTATGTCAAAACTATCAGCATGTTTATAATTATGTTGATGAGAGAAAACCTTAGAACTCTTACCATATACATTAAACCTCACTAGATTAATATAGAAGGAACTATGAAATATTATTATTATGTAAATGTATTATTTAATCAAAAAATTAATATTTATTTATTTAAAGAATGTTTTGAGATTTAATGAAGGTTAAACTATGTATCAAACTAATTTATGTATTATATTTATTAGATTCACACAAAAAATAAATTTATTGTACATAACCTACAATGAATACATCAAAATCATTGTATCTTACTCCCTCCATTTCATATTAATTGAATTTTTGAGGCATTTTCCATTTTTCAAATTAACTTAATTGTTCAGTTTTCAAGACTATTTTTAGAGCGTTCTTCCAATTTTATCCTTCATTTGGATTTTCAATGTGATGACTTCAATAAATTTGACAATAATTAATAAAGGGTAAAAATGGAAAACTATGTTCAATTTATGTCTTAATCTACTTTTAAATTCATTCTACATAATGTTCATTGTTTCTTAATTATCAAATATTATTCAATGTATCTTTACGAAGAATATTCAGTGTATGATGGTGAGAGAATAACTATTTAAGCAACATAGGAAATTTCTTGAATTCATATCCAAAAATGACTTCTTATTTAAAAGATGTCACAAAATCAATAATGACAAATCAAATGCGTATGTTTGATATGAACGGAAGCATGCATTTCGCTAAGAAAGCAAAACAGGAAGCAGCGATAACAAACATTACCCTCACTCAGAACAATATGCTCTATAAAGCATTAAGTGAGTACAAAAGAAATCATTCCACATGCACTCAAATTTTTTTACAGTTGTGACAATACCGAAACTTTTAGATGCAATAAGAAAAGTTAGAGATGAGTTTTAACTACATTTAAATTTTAACAAAAAACAAAACACAATAGGACCACATTTCACTAAATAAGTAAGATATATTTGTACTTTTAAATAATTATTACTAATATACAATATTAATGGGATCATATATTTATATAAGAGTCGTTTGAAAATATATTATATCTTATTATCATACCGAAATGAGTGATTTTTTTCCATTGACCCAAGTTGGGATCAGAGAAAAATATTATCTCAGACAAATTATTAGTTACCGAGGCTTTACCTATGTATTTTATGATTACTTAATTTTTTAAAATCTCATTAATTATTAATTTTCCTAATAAGTCTTACCACCTACTTTTCTCTTACCCTATATTTTAGGTCTTGTTAATATTTAAAAAAACGCACAAGGGAAGTAAAATTCCATTTGAAAGCGAAAGAAAATCTAGATAGTTTTGTCCTGATAAGTAAAGCTACTTATAGTAATAAGGCAAGTGACTTATTGTCTATTAGCTATAAAAAGGAAGAAAGTATAGCCAACTTTCCTCATTCTTTTATACAGCACAGCACTGCACTGCAGGTTTTTAGACAGGTAAGCCGCAGTTTTCCCTTTTTAGAATAAAACTTACATTTTTCTATCTTCAAAAACTTTGTGAATTTTGTTTTTTGATTTGATTGAGGAAACAAGTTTTACGAGTCTCTGAATGGTATTTGATTTAATCTTTTTCTGTTTGTTTCGATTTATTCTGGCATTGATTGATGATGAGTAGAAATGTTTCTTTTTTTAGTTTTGATTTGTGCTGGAATTGAATTAGAGTGGAGAATTGTGATTTCTTTTCTTAGCTGTTGATTGCTGTATTAATCGTTTTAACATCTATGTATGTTTTGTGTAAGATGCTAATCTAGGCATAAAAGTTTATATTTTTCTTGTTGTTGCCAATTTTTGTTTGTATTTAATTTTCCGTTACATTCCACATTCACTTCATAGGTAAATTGTTGGTCATCAGATTTTGACATTTGAATAATCTTGACTCTATGATCAGAGTGAAAAAAGGGATCTAAAGAAGAAGAGAGGCTAGATTATATTAGTAACGAGCAAACCTTGTATGTGTATCTCCGAGAATTTTGGACATAAATACCAATTAGAAGGTTTGAGATGACCCAAAAAGCGATTTTTGTGCATTTTTTGAGATTTTTCCTCAATTATTCTACTTTCGTGTGATCTTTAGTCTCTAATTTTTGGAGATGAATCTTCGTCTTGTGAATTTTTGAGTTCCTCTAAAAAAATTTCTGCTTCATTTCTAATATAAGGGAAATGGAAAGCTTACTGAGTGAGCCGTTGTGGTGCCTACCTATCCCGTTGAGGAAGGAATGAGGTCAAATGTAGTTGCTCATTTGGAAATAAATATTGTTTGAATTTAACAAAGATATACGATAATAATTGAGTTTACTGTCGTAGGTTTACAAGGTCTAAACAAAAGCTACTGTGGTTCTATATGTCATACGCTTCTTACTGATCTCTCTGATTATCTGAAGGTTTTGAAGGAAGAAATAACACATTTGGCTATGTCTCTTAGTAAAGACCTTATATTCTTGATATTGCAATTCTGCAATGAGGAGAACCTCACGAAAACTGCTCACATGTGAGTTTCATTTTATTTCACTCTTTCTATTCAGTTACGCGTATTAGAATAAGATACAATTTTATCTGAATTGTTAAGTTGTGAAATAGGTTAGGGCAGGAGACAGGGTTTTTCTTTGACATGGGACATCTTGAAGCTCTAGTGCTCGGTGGCAAGTGGGATGAGATTGAGAACTACCTTTCAGGTTTCACTGGTGTCACTGACAGCAGATATTCTAAAAAAATGTTTTTTGAGATTAGGAAACAAAAGTTCCTTGAGGCACTCGACAGGTAATCATAATTCAGATGTAATATGCATTATTGTGAGGCAAAAGTTTGGACAATGTTCTTATATATATATATAATTGATTGGGTGATAGGCAAGATCGTAAAACTGCTCTTGAGATCCTTATGAAAGATCTTCAAGTGTTTGCCGAGCCAAATAAAGTGCTTTATGCAGAGATGACTCAGCTTCTTACATTCGATGACTTCAGGTTAGGTTATACTGATTATCTGTCCGTCATAAAATTGTACAAGTAAGATGCCTGATCGACAAGAAACTTTTATTGTTAATTTCTGTACGCAGAGAACATCCTTCACTTGCTTTATATGGAGACACATTAACTGCTAGGAACCGCATAATGAAGCTACTTAAGGTTGTCATTGAATCAAGCCCCCAGTTTCATGGAAGACTCGACTTTCCAGAATTAACCAAGTCAAGATTGCGCCGTCTAATTAATCAAAGGTTTTATCTTGCTATTTTCTGTCTTCTCTCTCTTTTCTGAAATCTGCATATTTATATTCAGCTGTGCGGTGAAACACCACCAACTACAATATAATCTAATTAGCCTTTTTTATCCCCTCGTTTCATTCGTATGATGCACCCGATAATGTCTTAGTTTCCTATTTATACCTTTTATGGATGTTTGCAAAGAGCTGATGTCATTTCAATATATACAGCTTGAACTGGCAGCATATTCATTGTGCAAAGCCTCAGCAAGAACCGGAGATCAAAACACTCTTCGCTGATCATAAGTGTTCCATACCTGAAGATCAGTCGGTTACGCAAATGCCAAGGGTAACTTATTTTGAAGAGTTTATTAGATTATAGCATTACTTCACATCTGCTGAAGACATTTCCCGCTAATGTTTGAATCCTTCTTCCTTAGCCTAGCCAAACCATATCGGCTGCAACCCCAGATCAGTCTGTTATGCAAATGCCAAGGGTAACTTATTTTGAAGAGTTTATTAGATTATAGCATTACTTCACATCTGCTGAAGACATTTCCCGCTAATGTTTGAATCCTTCTTCCTTAGCCTAGCCAAACCATATCGGCTGCAACCCCAGATCAGTCGGTTACGCAAATGCCAAGGGTAACTTATTAGAGTATAGCATTACTTCACATCTATTGAAGACATTTCTGACTAATGTTTGAATCCTTCTTCCTCAGCCTAGCCAAGCCATATCGGCTGCAAACGCAGATCAGTCGGTTATGGAAATGCCAAGGGTAACTTATTTCGAAGAGTTTATTAGACTATAGCATTACTTCACATCTATTGAAGACATTTCCCACTAATGTTTGAATCCTTCTTCCTCAGCCTAGTGAAACCACATCGGCTGCAAACCAAGATCAGTCGGTTACGCAAATGCCAAGGGTAACTTATTTCGAAGAGTTTATTAGACTATAGCATTACTTCACATCTATTGAAGACATTTCCCACTAATGTTTGAATCCTTCTTCCTCAGCCTAGTGAAACCACATCGGCTGCAAACCAAGATCAGTCGGTTACGCAAATGCCAAGGGTAACTTATTTTGAAGAGTTAATTAGATTATAGCATTACTTTGCATCTGCTGAAGACATTTCCCACTAATGTTTGAATCCAGCCTAGTGAAACCACATCGGCTGCAAACCAAGATCAGTCATTTACGCAAATGCCAAGGGTAACTTATTCTGAACAGTTTATTAGATTATAGCATTACTTCACATCTGCGGAAGACATTTCCCACTAATGTTTGAATCCAGCCTAGTGAAACCACATCGGCTGCAAACCAAGATCAGTCATTTACGCAAATGCCAAGGGTAACTTATTCTGAACAGTTTATTAGATTATAGCATTACTTTGCATCTGCTGAAGACATTTCCCACTAATGTTTGAATCCTTCTTCCTCAGCCTAGCAAAAGCATATCAGCTGCAAACCCTGATCATCGACAAATATTTTCTAGTTCGTCCATTGTAACTGATGACATAGCTTCTGGTGAGGCTGCTGCTTCAGGAAACTTACTATGCAGTTGTAGAGTACTATATATTGATAAACAATAGTGTCGCTCTTGACTTTTTCGTGTTGGCTGTTCTTGTTAGCTTCTACTTCGAAGGCTGTTCAGGATTCTGGTAATTTATCTGATGTAAACACTACAAGGGATATGAACGAGGTGATGTACTTTGAACACACATAGTCATTCTATTCTCCCAGTTTAAGAGCATGTCCTCATTTGATGGTTTAGTTGCTTATCAGTAAATTTGAACTCCTTGAGTACTTATATTCATGCAGAAAGTGTTATCCACAACTGCTCCTTGTCAAGACCAGGATGCATCGGTTAACCTCTCGGATGACTTTCCGAAGACCGTTGAACGTGTTTTAACCATTGGCGCCAATCCACCAACGACCAGTGATTATCCAACAATCAGTAGCAATTATCCGACGGTCAACTATTATCCAACCACAATGGATTTTCACCCTGTTCAACAGACACTTCTGATAGGTTTCTCATTGAAAAGATAGTTCGCAAACTGATATATTTGTGATAAAGATTTCGAATCCTGAAATTCATTTCTAGTGATGATATTATTTTGCAGTTGGAGACGGTGGTGGAGGCGTAGAGCTGTGGGATGTTAGTTCTGGAAAAATGTTGTTTAGAAGAACGTTAATGATGTGGGAAGTAGAGGCTTTTTCAGCTGAATTTCTGGTACGAATACTTATAACTGATATTTAAAACTTAGTTTCTTACTGTAACTAAAGGTGGTGGCCATAACTGTTCAGAAAAGTATGGGTGAAGATCCGAGGATCTCAGTCAATCGAGTCCTATGGAGTTCCGATGGCTCTCTCTTTGGTATGTCTTCATATATTTTGATTTGGAGAGGAACTTATTTTCTGAATTTGGTGCTCGGTTAAGTTAATATTGCTTTAAACTTGGAACAAATGAACAGGGGTTGCATCCTCTAAGAACATTGTTCAACTATATAGTTATCATAATAATGTCAATCATGCTGAAAACCATCTGGAGGTATTTTTCTGCAAATTCATCTTTGCTTAATTTTTCTTCTTCTCTTTTTGTTTCTGTTTATTTCTGATAGAGATTTTACTTTCTCAGATTGAGGCTCATTATGGCAGTGTAAATGATCTTGCATTTTCTAAGCCAAATAACCAACTTCTTGTCATAACGTGCGGTGAGGACAAGTTGGTCAAGGTTTGTTTGTTTACATGTTAAATAAATTAAATACAATCAGGAACTCTAATTTGGTTAAATCATGACAGAGAAATTGGCTAATATTCAACTACTTATTTGAAGGTCTGGAATACTAACAATGGTGCTAGACAATATACTTTTGAAGGTCATGGAGCGCCCGTTTACTCTCTTTGCGCTCACGTGAAGGAAGATGTTCATGTAATTATACCTCTTTATACTGCTAAAGCTGCTTACTATTAAGTATATATATATTTAGAGCATTCTGATTCATTTTTCTGCCTCAGTTTATATTTTCAACATCAACTAATGGTGAAATAAAAGCATGGGTGTATGAAAACTCGGGACCAAGTGTTTCTTATGAGGCTCCTAGTAAATGTTGCATGAGAATGCTTTACAGTGCCAATGGTAAAAGGTGATTGGCCAGACTCGTTTCATTCTTTTCTGCTTTTTGTTTTTTGGTTTGTTGGGACGGATACTTAGTTTTGAAGCTTGTAGGCTTTTTTCATGTGGGACTAATAAAGATGGAGACTCGTACTTGGTGGAATGGAATGAAAATGATGGTTTCATAGAAAGGACCTACCTCGGACTTGGCAAATGTTCTTCGGGTGTTGTGGAATTTGATATCAGCAGGAATAACTATGTGGCTGCTGGAGATTCCCATGTAATCAAAGTTTGGAATGTAAATGATGCTCAACTCTTGACAGTTGTCAATGCTGGTGGAGACCTTCCTGTATGTACTCTACTAGCTATAATCATTTTACGAGAATCCTAAAAGATGCACTTTTTCTCCCTTTTGTTTCTGTTTTCTATGTCAATGCTGAAGTGGACACTAACATAACTCAATACTTAAAAACGAAAACCAGAAAATGCGGCTAGTTTGATATAAGTACATGCTTATGCAAATGCCCTCTTTTAACTGTACTTACTTCTGTAGTATAACACAGTCTGAAATTCTCGTTTTCTTTACCAAGGCAAGTCCATATGTTCGATTCAACAAGAATGGCACTTTATTGGCTGTCTCTGTGGATCAGAACAGTATCAAAATCTTAGCAAATGATGGTGGCCGCATTTTTCTTCAAACTTCATTGGATGCCTCTACATATCTATCTACAAGAGAGGTCTGCATGTCAAACTTAATTTTTTTTTCTCAAGATAAGAAAAACAATAGTTATGATTTACCTTTTTATTGTTCTCTACAGATTGCAGGCAATTCCCTAAGTGGTCCTGCTAATAGTAGCCCGATTGATGGCATTGTCCCTCCGGTTCGTGTTGAAAGAAACTGATGTTTCTGTTATCAATTCTTTCTGATATATTTAATTCCATTCCATCTATGCTAGTTATTTCAGCTTCCACCTTTTTAAAACATACTAAATAAAATTATAGACAGCTTTGTAGTGACTTCTCAAATTGATTGAGTGCTGTACAGGAAAAGACAGCAGAAAACCTGGCAAGTATGGAGCATCACAAGATATTAGGGAATCCGAGCACCTCTAAGGTCGTCCAAATTTCACGATGTCAATCTTTGAGGCTCCCCTCGGAAGTGAAGACAAATAAGGTATGAAATCATTCTTAGATTATTGAAATCTCATAATATGACTCGTTGAAATTAAAAATGAGGGAACTTCTTATTGAAATTGCAATCAATTATTGCAGGTGTGTAGGTTAGCATATACTCAGGCAGGAAATATGCTTGTGGCCTTAGTCGCAGATGGTATTCATCTACTCTGGAAATGGTCGGAGAGTGATTCTAATTTGACTGGCCAGGTAAAGGAGTTTTAGAAAATGGCTTAAATATTTACGTTTGTCGGCTGACCAACATGTTTATGCTGTAGACAACACCAAAATGCACTCCTCAACTATGGCAACCACGGAGTGGGCAGAGTGGGGTGGTTTTGAAGAACAGTCTGCCCAGTGGTGATGCAGGAGCAGTTTCACCTTGCATAGCTTTAACCAATAATGGTTTTTATGCACTTTCGGCATCCGGAGGAGCAGTTTCTATATTTAACTTAAACCTCTACAAGGTGATTACAAGAAAATGAAGTTTATGCGCTGCATAATGAAATGCTTCTCCCTCTCTATATTCATTCCTTTGCCCATGAAAGTTTCCTTCAGTTCCGAACTGAAGTAATCAAATCATGTTAGTTACCGTAAGTGTTTAAACTGTTAATGGAAATGAATTTTCAAGAATCAAAACTGATAACAGGGTATATACTGGTACTTTACTTTCATGTGATTTGAATCCACGATTTGCTTTATGTTCTTCATTTATCCTTCACTTGCATGATGGTGCCGTTTATGGAGTCTTTGATTTCTTCTGAAGAAGTAATACTTTAATATTGAAATGCCCCGGAGATTAGAGATTTCATCCTACTATACATTATTGGTTCCATTAATCGTTCCTTCTTGTTCTTGATAACTGCAGAAAATGAAAAGTATCACGCCTCCTACACCTGCAGCAACATGTATTGCTTGCCACCCGACTAATAACAATGTGATTGCTGTTGGGATGGATGATTCGACAATCATTGTCTACAGTGTCCGTTCGGAGGAGGTATCATAATTGCCTCCCACTTCCTTTTGAGGAAAGTGTCAAATACGTGCCGAAGTTGATTTTTTTTTCATTTGATTTTGCAGTTCATAAGCAGGCTTCAGGGACACTCAAAAAGGATTACTGGACTTGCATTCTCTAACACACTGAATGTGCTTGTTTCTTCAGGAGCAGACTCTCAGGTTTTTTCTTTCACCATTAGAAAGAAGTTGACAATTGGTTTGCTATATGTTACACAAGTTAACTTTGTAGCGTCTAATATCACATTTTGTGTCGTATTTGATAGTTAATTCTGTTTGATAAGTTAGAACCTCTAACCCCTAATTTGTATTTTTCGTATTGGAATGAAAAGCAAAAGCAGCATGGATTTATATATCCAACCACAACTAGCTTCCAAGTTGTTTCCTTTGTGATAAATGATTGGTAGTCTTTTTAGTATCAACTCTTTTACTTGAATGAACCGGCTAACAACCATCTTCTACTTTACTTTCCCAGATAGTGGTGTGGAATTCAACTAACTGGGAGAGGGAGGGAAGTACAATGTTGCAGATGTCTGCAGACTGGTTACCAACAGAAGTATCAGAGACATCTGTCGAATATCAGCGAGATGAGAAATGCTTCCTTGTCGTACATGAGACTCAAATTGCAATCTATGAAACAACAAAGCTAGAATGTGTGAAGCAGGTGCTCCCTGGCTCCTATTATAGTAATAAAAAGAAAGCCATGCATACTGTTGTCTGTCCATATCAACAATAATTAACAATTTTTTTTTAATTTTATTTGGCAGTGGATGATCAAAAACTTCTGTGCACGAATTTCACATGCAACATTTTCATGTGATAGTGAGTGGATATATACTATTATGAAAGACGGGATCGTTTTGATACTGTCTGCTTCAGATCTCTCCCCCAAATATGAGATTGATCCTTCTACTTTCCTCACTTCTGATTTGAGGTAATTAATAATTTGATGTACTTTATTGGAGTAGTCAACTGGTTTTTGTATTCACTAGTCATTTTACTGTACAAAATGTAGTTCTCATGTGTTCCCTGTGGTGGTTGCTGCTCATCCTCAAAATCCAAACCAGTTAGCTTTGGGTTTAAACGACGGTGGAGTAGTCGTTATTGAACCTTCAGAGTCTGATGGTAGATGGTGTGAGCCACCCAAGGCGACGACTCAACCAATATAGCAGTAGTTCCATTCATTTGATGATTTCTCATCACTTAGAGCTGCTTCTTGCTATTGGCAAACTATAACTATATTGATTTTAGTTTCATAAAGATTATAGTATATATGGAAAACTATTCATATACTCTTATATATTGTTTTTATGTTTCATGAAAGGCCTCTCTTCATTCACTATTTTACTTTGAACAGCAATATGGCTGTAAAATGGGAGTTTTAGAATATTAATGTGTCCAGTCCTCATGTTGTATTATTCTCATTGACTGTGACCAAACTGCGTTTCGAGTGTCTTTGTAGAGAAGAGATAAATCTTCCCATAAGATGGTCAGGGATAAACCGCTCTACAGAATATGAAACAGCATGAAGGAAAGTAAAAACCCCTATAAGAAAGAAACCAAATCTTATTTATTTTTTTCCCTACAAGGGAAAAAATTAGCTCTAAATGAGATATCATGACTTCAACAACAAGGCACGATAAACAAAGCGAAAATACATAAAGTCCTTACTTAACTTATAGGTGTTTTTAAGTAGATACCTAATTTGCAAGGGGTCTAATTACTCCTTCAACTATTTTAAAGTACCATATATACATACCTCCTTTTTCGATCAGTTCCCAGTTATGATAAGTATTTAACTTTTAATTATTTTAGTTTTGCCTTTTATTTTCTATCTTGATCCATTATCTTTTACTTTTTTCTCTTTTCCTTCTCTTCTTTGCCTTTGATTTCTCCAAAAATCTCTTTGAATCCCACCATCACAATCCACTACAACAACACTCCATCATATAATCACTGCTAAACCAACTTTCAATCACCAAATAATCAAAATATGAAAATTAAAATTTCTATCAAAATCTTAAATTTAAATCATCTTCACACTAAATCACCTCTTCATCTATTAGCCTCAACATTTCCTATCTCTAAGTTTTAAGAAATAGAAAACTACTTGATCAATTTTATTTTATTTTTAAAAAGAAAGAATGCAATAATATTGCATTTAAAAAATAAAAAATCAGGGCAAGAATGACGGTATCTATTTTTTGGTTGGCTAAAAAAGCTTCTTAAAAGGTTGTTAATGCCTTAATGGTGATGCGGGGAAGATGGGAAGATGGGAAGATGGGTCTACTTCATGAAGAAAATAATTTAAATTGGCAATGCCACATGGCGTTTTACACTGGTTTGGGATTATATTGTAACTCCTTCACGCGTTCAACATTTGTGCGTGTAATGTAGGGATGCAATGGGGCGGGGCAGGTGGGATGCGGGGCGAGTTGAAGTGGGTTTTTAAAAAATTAATGTGGGGCGGGGCAGGTTACGGGTATATGTAATTTCATGTGGGTTCAAACTTAATTTTAACTTCTTACATGTTATAAGAGTGATAGAATATTATTTATTAAAATAATTTCTTTAAAACTACTAAAACATTCAAGATAATAATGAAAATAGTTCAATAAAAAATAATACAATTTCTTACATGTTTCCAATTGACCTCTAAAAAATAAAATTTTAAGTCACTCTATCCTATTAAATTAATACAACTTAATGAAAAAATGAATTTCTTTCTATGAATTTTATTTTATTATCAAACTTAACTAGAAAAAGAAAATATTATGCAGGGTGGGGTGGGATGGGGCGGGTTGAAAATGAAAAAAAGTTATTATGTGAAGCGGAGCGGATTAAAAATTATGCGGATTAAGCTCAACCTGCCCCGCACCACCCCATTGTCATCCCTAGTGTAGTGACCCGAGTTTACACCTAAGTCGAGACATGGTACTTGAAACTACTTGTGATTCCAAACTAATCATTGGCATAACATATTCATCAATACCAAAGTGACCTCTTATATATATATATATATATATATATACACCATATCATATCATATTATACTAAAAGTGGAAAGAATGTTAGGCAAAAGTTAGATTATCAATTTGTCCCTATATCAAATATCAATACTATTAATCATCTAATCAATTTTTAATTAAATATTAAATAATAAATTTTAATTACTACAAGGGCGAGTTACACATTAAGCCAATATCAAATTTATCAATTTTTTCGATTATAATTTATTCATGTTGTATGGTGAATTAATATTAAATTTTTATAAGTAATTATTATCAATAAGACAAAAAGACTCCTAATTATATTGTTCAATGAATTACAGGTGAGGACCAAATGTTAAATAATTAAGTAGGAAACTGATGGGCCTCATTTATTTTTTCGGGATACTAAGCAAATAATCCTTGGAATGAAAATAATTACAAACTTATAGCCCATTACTTTCATAGCCTCCTAAATAATTACATTATATACCCCTCAAACAATTGGCTATAGAAACTAAAAAGCCCTAACAATAAAATTTCAAAACAACAATTTCTGTCACTTCAACAAATCAGAAAACCCAATTTTTTTTATCAATTCTCTGTTCTACCCCAATTCTCCTTCCATTTTTATCCGCTATTCTCATTCTTCCCTCATTTCTCCTTCTTTCATTTCAAAACAACACTCAATTTTGAGGATGGAGCAAATACCCATTCTTTTACAACACAGTGAAATTTGGAATTCGCAGAATAAAGTTGATGTACTGCTCATAGAAAATACTACAAATTTCAAAGATTTTGTAAAATAAATAGCAGATCATTTCAAACTTAATGGAAGTATTGACATACGTTATTCAATTGTGGAAGAATTTCTGTAATTGAAAGTATCCAGTGATATGGCCGTCAAAGTCTACCTCGACTTGAAGAAGAAGAATCAGGATATTGCTTCTTATCCGTTGATCATTCCCTACAACTGCAAAACAATGGAAAAATGATCAATTATCTAGAAATATCTCAAAAAAATACAGAACTATCAATTTATGAAAAAAATACATGTAATGAAATTGATCTTCCTGCTAATAATATTACTAAGGAAATGACTTCCATATAGATAATTGTAGACATCTCGAAATAATCAACTCAAGTTTATCAAATCTACCAGAACAAAATCACTCTAGCTCAAGTTGTAAAACGACATTCAGTTCATGAAGGTTTTCAATATAGAACTCCGAGATCTTGCAAAAACAGATATAATGCCTATACATAATCTTGTATATGACATATTATTTTTCGTAGATTGATGAAACAATTAATTTTTTTTACAAAAATACTGAATGATACGATAGTAGTATATGACTTGTTGTTCTGGTATCATTCAGAAATAATCTGGAGAAAATAAGCAATTACTAAATGATATGATAGTAGTATATGACATATATACTGTTCTAGTATCATTCAGAAATAATCAAGAACATATGAGCAACTACTCAATGATGTCGTAACAATATGTGACATACTATTCTGATATCATTCAGAAATAATCTGGAGAAAATGATCAATTATTAAATGATGTCACAGTAGTATATGGTCATATAGTTCGGGAATCATTTCAGAAATAATCTGAAAAATAAGAGCAATTACTAAATGATACCATAGCAGTATATGGCATACTGTTATGGTATCATTCAGAATTAACTAAATGATAGCATAGTAGTATATGGCATACTAATATGGTATCATTCAGAAATAATCAAGAAAAAATGAGCAATTACTCAATGATGGCATAATAGTATATGGCATACTGTTGTGGTATCATTCAGAAATAATCTAAAGTAAATGAACAATTACTAAATGATATTATAGTAGTATATGACATACAAATCTGGTATCATTTAGAAATAATCTGATAAAAATGAGCAATTACTAAATGATGTCATAATAGTATATGACATACTGTTTTGGTATCATTCAGAAATAATCTGGAGGAAATGAGCAATTACTAAATGATACCATAGTAGTATATGGCATACTGTTCTGGTATCATTCAGAAATATATATGGCATACTAATCTGGTATCATTCAGAAATAATCAAGAAAAAATGAGCAATTACTCAATGATGACATAATAGTATATGGCATACTGTTGTGGTATCATTTAGAAATAATCTGGAGAAATGAGCAATTACTAAATGATATTATAGTAGTATATGACATACTAATCTGGTATCATTCAGAAATAATCTGAAAAAATGAGCAATTACTAAAAGAGTATCTATATACTATATTGGTATCATTAATATCCCTACTTCACACCCTACTCGTTAGTTAAATTATACTAAAAGAGAATCTATATACTCTAATGGTATCATTAAGATTTTCTTCTTCATAAATTACTCATTACTAAGTGATACCAATAGAGTATCTATATAGTGTATTTGTATCATTAAGGTTTTCTTCTGCATACACTACTCGTTAGTATGTGATACTAAAATAGTATCTACATACTTTATAGGTATCATGAAGGTTTCTTCTTCATAAATTACTCATAAAACCATGCTTCAAAAATATTTTATAAGAAAAAGTATTGTATGAGTATCATTAAGCTTTTTGTTCGTAACTAATTCATTAAGCGTCTAAAATAGTATATCTCTACTGAATGGGTATCATTAAGGTTTGTTGTAAATAACTAACTTAGTAAGTGATACTAAAATAGTATATAAATAATGTATGAGTATCATTAAGCTTTTTGTTCATAACTAATTTATTAAGTGATTCTAAAATAGTATATCTCCACTGAATGGGTATCATGAAGGTTTGATGTTAATAATTAACTTTGTAAGTAATACTAAAATAGTATATAATTATTGTATGAGTATCATTAAGCTTTTTGTTCATAATTAATTTATTAAGTGATACTAAAATAGTATATATTTACTGAATGGGAATCATTAAGGTTTGTTGTTAATAACTAACTTAGTAAGTGATACTAAAATAATATATAAATATTGTATGAGTATCATTAAACTTTTTGGTCATAACTAATTTATTAAATGATATTAAAATAGTATATTTTTACAGTATCGGTATCATTAAGCTTTGTTATTCATAACTAATCTATTAAGTGATACTAAAATAGTATATAAATAATGTATAGTATCATTAAGCTATTTGTTCATAACTAATTTATTAAGTGATACTGAAATAGTATATCTCTACTGAATGAGTATCATTAAGGTATGTTGTTAATAACTAACTTAGTAAGTGATACTAAAATAGTATATAAATATTGCATGAGTATCGTTAAGCTTTTTGTTCATAACTAATTTATTAAGTGATACTAAAATAGTATATCTC